CCCTATTGAAGATCTTGGGAACATCTTTCTCCAAGACAACTTATTTCAGGTATCAGTTCCGCATCGGACTTGAGTTCTTTAGGGACAGTTGGGTAATGTTCTAATTTTTTCAAAGACTCTTGACTCCTCTAGGTATAAGGGCTGGTAATCCATTTAGAGTAGGATGGCCTTCCTACATAGCCTAGCTCTAAATTTCTTTTTACTGAGTGCAACAGGTCACCTTTGGCCTTGGTCAGATCTGAAGGACTAGGTCTCTACTGTTATCAGTTGCATCTCTCCATTGCTTGAGATAAAGGCAATGGACAGAAAGACAGGACCCATCTCCACAAATGAAAACAAAACAAAAATCCGTCCTTGTAGCTGAGCAGGAAGGGTGAACAGGTGATAGGAGACATGCTGGATCTCCAGGGGAGTTGGCATCTCTTGAGAAGGTTCATTCTAAACCATGCGCCCTGGGAACGGATAGTGCTTTCCCACCCCTCAACGATTTCCCAGTGGCCTGAATTGTTCCACTACAGCGAGACTGGAATTAACCTCTCAAAGTGTCTTCGTTTCTGCACATTTTTAAATCGATCTTCTCAGGGGTGACCGAGTGGGCCAAGGGGAAGGGGGAGGGTTAGTGCAGGGGTAGCAAGCAGCTCCCTGGGCCTCTGCAACTGTACCAGCAGCTCCTGACCCTCCGGTTTTGCCTGCAGACCCAGAGGTTTTGTACAGTTTGTCAAGTGTCAGTGCCCTTTGCTACTGTTTCTCTTTGTTTATTAAATGTGTTTGAATAATGATTGAGATGCTGTGATTTACATTTTTTTTTTCAATAAAGATGCTGAAATGGGATTGAAGTTTGAACTAATGTCCCAGGTCCTGCTGCTTTTTCTTTGCATCTAGGAGTGCAGAAGGTTTTGTCGTCCTAATGCGCCATTTGGTCTTTATATGAGGGAAAAGCGAGTCAGGAATGTGTTCTCGGTTATTCAGCATTTCAAAAAAAAGATTTGTAAAGAGCAAGGGGAGTTACATTTGTGTCTTTTTACAGCTTGTGCTCCACGAAATCCTGAAACATGCGTTTGTGTTTCCTGCTGGTATTTGACTCTAGAATCTTCCTAGGTAAAGATCTGAGTTTTTAATGGCAATGGCAAAATGAGGAAAAGGTTGAGAGATTTTGTAAGTCATTTTTGGCCAACATCTCTATGCCTGTCTGTCTGACACACGCTTGGAAGAAAGACTGTTTTGGTTAAAGGATTCAACCACCCCACCCATTAACTTCAGGTGTGAAAACTCGCTGCACATATGCAAAGGTTCACAAGCAGTTCTTTGGCGCAACAAAAAAAATATTAAAAAATCGGAAAAGACAGATTTAGAAAAATCAGTCTCTCGTATCAGGAAAAATAATCCAAATCCAACATACAAAGAGGGCTCTGATAAGTGACCTAACTAAGCACAAAAGACAAAATGGTACCTCTCCTCCCCCAAAAAAAATTGCTGATCTGGAAGTATCTATTTGGCTAGAAATTACACTGCAGTTTAGAAGGACATGAAATCATTGTTACATTATCCCCCAGCCATAACTCCACCAGCCTTTTTCCTTATTTGTCTCTTTAGCCCAGTTGATAGATTAGCAGAGCTTCAATTTATTTCTTGTTTACTGAGGATGGATATCCAGAAAGGCTTGAAACACAGAGGTACCAACAGATGGAAAAGCAGCGGGGAGGAAAGCAGCAATATACATGCATCCCTCCCACAGGAAGGACTGAGAGCTGGAGACCCTTTGAATTGCAAACCAAAAAGTAGTGATTAGAAAAATAAAGCTTCCATTTGAATATAAGCCCATGCTGCCTTCTGCGACTACTGCAATTTGTCTTGGGCTCTCAGAGCACCAAAGTCATGCTCCTGGCTGGTACCATGTGGTGTAGGCAAGGGTTACATCAAGCCCTAGAACAGTTAATTGATGAGCCAAAGGGCAGAGGGGGAAAAATAAATCAGTGGTGAAGCTGGGAAGACAATCCAGGAAAAAAATAAAAAGAAACCTGATTTCTATCTGTAACCACAAGGTCATGCTCCCTGTTAAAGCACCTGTAACCTGCCACCAGCTATTCCTGTAGCTGGCAAAAGCTTGGTCTCCACCAAGGGTATCATCTTACCAAGGTTTCAGTTATCTAATAAAGTTACCAGGCTAGTACCTTAAATATCAAGCAGCAAGTCACAGCCCGTTACACCAGGTTTCCCTTTATTAAGATCTTAAGTACAGAGAAGTACTAGCCATGTTAGTCTGAAGTCAGGCAGAAAGCAGGGCAGGGTGGCACCTTTGACTAGCTGGGTCAGAGAGGCATGGTGCTTTCATAGGCTAACTGCTACCACAACCAACTACGCTCTACTTGGGGATGGCACAGCCTCAAGACCTTCAGGCAAACCATGCTTCAGGAGCTACTAGGACACAACTCCAAAGCTAATCTCTGAACAACCATCTGGATGGTGACCAAGCCCAGCTTGCCACAGCTTCAAGTTCAAACCCAGCCAGGCCATGTGTCCATTCATCCACGTTCACAAGGAAGGTTTCCATCAGCAATAACTCAAACACACAACATAGTTTCATAGTTGGTAGGGTCAGAAGGGACCTGAGCAGATCATCAAGTCCAACCCCCTGCTATGGCAGGAAGGAGTACTGGGGTCAAACGACCCCAGCAAGGTGTTCATCATACACTTATGAGATGCACCACGTGCCCCATATAGCCTGTGCCATACGGCCATACTGCTAAAACAGCATCCAGGCTTGAAACTGAGAACTCTGTTTAAGCAGTGCAGTTTCTCCACCAGCCAGGCTGACCGTCATGAGTTGTCACTAGGGGAGTTGCTGTGGGTATCTTAGCTTGTCAGAAAAACCTCTTCATTGTTGTTGCCAATGATTTGCATTCCTTCACAGTATAACAGTTCTCAGACCCCAAGCTGTAGCATCCAACTCTATTTTTAAGTTGTTTCTGTACTTCCTGCTGCTGCTGACACATTGCAAGATCTGTTGTAAGTTGCTGCTTACTACGATGGGATAAAAAAAAAAGTACATATGGAGAAAACAGACACAACCCAGCTCTTACTGATTATAGACACAGATGGGGCCAGGCATCACATTGCAAAAACAACAAAAAAACAAAAAACAAAAAGTCAGGAAGCTTCCTAAAGTTCAGGAGTGAATCTAGTGTGCTAGGGAAGGGGGATTGGGAGTGGGCTGCTTATCTGTCACCCAACCGGCCTCTTGTTACAGGTTCTTGGGCAAAAGAGATCCAGGCTGTAGGAAGTAAAAACTCGTCAGAAAAGAGTAGTGCCCCATTTCTGGGCTGGATGCGAGTTGAGACAAGTGATGCAGCAGAGACGTGATGATTCACTGTGGTTACTTCCATCTGAGAACACGCCAGGGCAGGGCTCAGCCTCTCCAGCAATTGCGAACTACCGATGGCATCACAATGAGAGCACTCAGAGCAGCCAGAGTCTGGATTATGCCATCACTTGGAAGACTCACAGCCCATGTAGGGCTGCTGGCAGGGAGGGTATCCTTGGGGGAGCTGCCAGCAGCCAAAGAGAACAAAACCAAAGTCTTTGACTTAGTGTTGGAGCCGGCCATAGGCCGGGTGGAAAAGAGCGGAGTAACCCCTCTGTGCTGCCATTTAACAGCCTCTATTGGAAGACTCTGGCTGCCCTAAGGAGGCAAGAGTGACCTCATGTTTGAGCAGATCAGGTGAGCATGGAGCATAGGGCACATGACATGTCTTTTACACAGGCCCGTTCCCTGAACCAGAAGCTGTAGGCACACAAAATCCATCCAAATTATGCAGGCTTGAATGTGCATAGGGTGGGAGGAGGTGACACGTTTCAGCCTAACATACTCTGAGACCATCACCAATAATACCACAAGTCATCAAGCGGATCAGCGCTTGCTGTTAAAGACAGGGGCCTAAAATCAACCCTAATGTAAGGCATGGAAATCAGTGGTTGCAATGGGAGAGGAAACCATTCTCTCCTTTAACTCAGTCTATCCTGTCCCACTATATAGTTCTTCCTTTGAGTGTTTCAGCCAGGGGAGTGCAAGTATCTCGGGGTGGTGGCAGACAGAGCTCCATACCATCTGTAGCCCCTTTGGGCTTCTTAGCTCTTCCCAAGAGCAGACTGAAGAGGGGTGAGCTCTGTAGCTACTTAGCTGTGCTCAAGAGAGTCACTCACCCCTGCCCCCCACCCCCCTTGCATTTTCCTGACACCTACCCTTCCAGATAGGGTACTAAAATCTCCAAAACCAAGAGACAGAGAAGCTGGCTCCAAGTCAATGGTGCTGCCTGGGAGGCCTTGGGCTGCAACTCCTCATGCCTCTCCCTGCGCATCTGGGTCTACTGTACCATTTCATGGCTGGTTATGGTGGCTTTGACCCTGTTCCAACACTCCAGATCAGGTTGTGCTCTTTACATCCCTCACAGCCCTGCTAAGCTAATGAGAAAGCAGAGACTCGCATGGGCAGGCTGACCCACTGAAAGGCACTTCTCCAGCAGAAACACATTCACCTAAATAGTACGCAGCAGAATGTCCCTGGACAGAGCTTGGCCTGGGGAGCTAGGAGGCCCCAGTTCTCCTTCCAGCTATTTCCACACCTGTTGGAAAGTCATCTTGGCTGCTCTGTGACTCAATTTCTCCATGTGAGAATTTGGGACAATACCACATATTTCTTACAGCAGTTGAGAAGCTTAATTGATGGCAGAGGACAGAGAGCTCTAAAGGAAGGGTGCTTGGAGGGCCAAATGCTTTTGATGGTGGATTGTCCATCACTCAAGGCCTTTACAAAGTGATCCAAGCTCAATTTAAAATAAATATATGCCCTGGTTGCACCAGACCTGCCAGTATTATGCAAGAGGTCAGATAATCATAACTGCCCCTCCCAATCTTAGATCCACAAGTTTCTCAGAACAGGCTGGCCGCCTCTAAAAAAGCATGCCAAGTTTATTAGTCACTTCCCCCTGGCCCACCAAGTTCATCATGAAGCCCGATTATATGGATTAAATGTAGGTCTTCTTACTTCTTCTCAGAGCTCCGGACCTCTGGATCTGGTGGTAGAGTCCCGTGGAGGCTTCTGTCATCATGAACAACACAAGCTTATATTTTCTCAAGGACAAAGTCATGTGCCCCTTATGCCTGGAGTTGTTCACTGACCCCGTCACCACAGCCTGCGGGCACAACTTCTGCATGGACTGCCTGCAGAACTACTGGGACCACCAAGCCTTGATCGGAGAGAGCCCCTACTGCCCACAGTGCCAGGAGCCCTTCAGTTCAAGGCCTAGACTCTGCCAAAACATCAACCTGGGAGAAATAGCAAAGCTCGCCCAGGAGGTTCAGGCCATCACCAAGCTTCCCCCAGCAGGTCCCAAAAACATCCCCTGTGATTTCTGCTCCTCTGGGAAACTCAAGCCCATCAAGACCTGCCTCCAGCATACACCCTCCTTGTGCGAGACCCACACCCAGCTACACTACAAAGACAAGGTATACAGGAGCCACCAGCTGCTGGAGCCCATCAGTGACCTGAAAGCCAGGCTGTGCCTCAAGCACCACAAGCTGCAGAAGCAGAACTGCCGGGCAGAGGGCAGCTTCCTCGGTCATACCCGCCTCCAGGAGGGGTGCAGGAACCACGAGGCAGTCCCCTTGCAGGGGGAGAGAGCCACGAAGGCGGTGAGCAAGACAGTGACCCTTGTGGCACAGGCTGCATCCTGGGCTTACTTATCATGATTTGCCAGCATAGCTGCGAGGCCATATACACACAACTGCCCCATGGCAGCAGGACCCAGCAGCCAACAGGAGCATGTAGCCAGGCCCACACTTTCTACCAGCCACCGTGGCCCATTTAAAAGCTATGCCTACGCAGGGCACAGGGCATGCCTTGCTGGCATGTTGCAGCGGTGGAAATAGTGGGAGCTATAGATGTAACCCCCTCTGGCAGCCTCCCTGTAACAGGAGCTATCTCCTGGTAGGAGAAGCTAAGATAGCAATTTTCAACAAGGGTGCTGTGGCACCTAGGGGTGCCGCCACATGCTTTGAAACGTGCCACAAGGTTGAGGAGATAAGCAGCTAAGGACAGGCTCAAGCATGCCCCTGCTTGGCCAGTCCCCCAGCCCACTGCCTGGCCCCTCTGAAACAAAGTAAGCACTTTAATTCATACACACGAGCTTCTGAAATTGGGTGCCACTCAGTTCACAACAGTTATGGAGGGGTTTCAAGTCTAGTGAGGTTGAGAACCACAGAGCTGAAGCATAGGAAGTCTTCCACAAGGCATAGGAGGTCCTCCATGGGGCCCAAATTAAACCCTTGGCACTCGCAGACCAGCCAGCTGTAAGCTTGAGGTTAGGCTGACCCAGCACAGATGGGAAGCGGTGTTGGTTCAGGCAGTTCCTTGCCCCACTGGACAACATGGTGAATCCCACTGGAAGGTTACATAGTAAACCCCTGTTCCCAGAAGCAGTGCTGAGCTCAATGGGGTAAGTGTTTCAGGAATCTCCCAGACTCGTTAGCACCACTACAAATGGCCCCGAGTACAGATGTGCCAAAGCCAGTAGTCACCATGCATTTGTGTAAGTTAGCACAAAGCCCGTCGCTGCTTATTTCACCATTACCACGACTAGTGCACAACATTGGCTTTTGCACAGCCTGAGGGACCTCCCACTGAAATCCATGGAAAGACTGTGGGCCAGGTCATCTGCCATCAATTCTCCCCAGTGGAGCTGCATTGATTTATGCCAGCTGAGGACCTGGAGCATTGATTTCAGCCAGTTAGACTGAGACTTTAGCAAAGGCACAACCTGTACGGATTCAGATCAGAGGCTCTTTCCAGCATGGGTACTTCTGAGGACAAGTCAAGCTAACAACTCAAGAGAGTGGGAAAGAGGTTGTACCTGCCTCAAGAGCAGCTCCTCTAGAAAGCCTGCAACAAGCTGAACATCTGGTAACACAACGGCCAGAGGCAGGACCCACACACAATACTCTACAGCCTTGGATTTCAACCTGTTTTCAGGTTGAATGGAGATGTGGACCCCTTTGAATTGTAAGTGTGGGTATTCACACACTTTGGATTGATCATAGTCATCTTCCAAGGACCACTTAGTAAGCTGACCCCCACGAGTCCACAGACCACGGGTTGAAAACCACTGCTTTAGAGGGAGCAATCTCTCTCCCCTCCATCTCTTGGGTGGGCCTAGCCAGTACTCTGTAAGAAACTGGAAGTCATGGGATGCTTCCAGGTCTCAGCAGGGCCTCATATTACCTTCTGAAGCATGAGATTTGGGTCCTCTGGCCCATCACAGAACAAAAAGGCAACTACTTGAAGCAGCTTCCTGCCCATTATTGCCTTCTCTGTAGATATTCTTCGAGGCCAATAGCCAGATAGTTCCATTCTGCTCCCAAGGCTGGAAGAGAGTATAAGGGAAGAAAGCTAGCTTTCACATGTCCATCCCACCTGGAAGAAACAGGTTGTAACTCTAAGGGTCTTGGCTCTGCTCTCTCAGACCTAATCCAGCCTAGTTCCCTTGACAAAGCCACACCAACTGAGGATCTGGTCTTTCCATGTTCATCAGTCAGTAGTCCGGTACCCCCAAGATCCACATACTCCTCTGTTGATGCTATTTAGACCTGCATATCTCTATCATTCAGGGCAGACAATGACAGAACAAACCTACTGGGCCCCGGCCATTGGTTGGCTGGCTCTTATATGGGTGATCATGCTGTGAAGCCAAGAAGCTTTGGTTGTAACAAGTGACTAGTGGGGTCGGGACACAAAAGAAAGAAGATCTCTTGCAAATGCCTTAAGCTCCAAGCCATCACTACATACCACGTGTTCCTTTAGGATACAATTAAGCTTGCAATGAGCTCGCTCAGCCTCTATCTACCTTAATGCTGGAATATTGAATTTTAGAAGCCCGCATCTCGTCAGGGAGCAGAGCTGAGGTCAGCAGGTGCTTTGCAGCCATCCTGCCCTGGGCCGCCATCTCCCTAGAGCCAAGGAGGTAAAGGGAAAACACAGCCAGGGCAATAGGTTCTTGAGGGCAGGGAACATCTCACTGGAAGGCCTCAAGCCCATAAGGGTCTCCTGAACAGAACTGGGGGTATAAAGCCTGGTGTGACCTTATGGTGCTGCAAATTATTGCTATTACTTCACTGCTGTTGCTCACACCTGGATCAGGACCCCTAAGGAAAGCCAGGTTCCTGCAGGAAACAGCAGTGGCTTTATGGGTTAGCATTGAACCCAGTGCCTCAGGGGGAACCATGCTGCTGGAAGCACTGTTTTTCAGAGGGAACATGAGTCAAAGTCCTGACCCTGGCTGATCATTGAATGAGGTCTTTCATAAGATCAGATGTATTAACCCCCATGCCCTAGCTGGATTTCAGCTTTGGCCAATGACATTCACACCAGACATCTATCTACAATTTCCCATGGCTATTGCCAGCTTCCCTTTTCCAACCAACCTGTTTCGTAATGTTGTTGCATGCTTCTAAGTAGCTTCCCTGTCCCACACCCAGGGGCTGGAGAAACTCCTATATCTGGTCAGAAAATGGGTTTTCCTCCATGAAAAGTTCAGATTGTTTCTTGCCCAAAAAACTAACCCTGAAATTTGAAATATTTCAGTTTGCAAGTGCTCCTCTGTGATCAATGTCCCTCTTCGTCATTTTGGGCTGGGCTTCCTAGCTGGACTGTGGAGATGTCCAGCCAGGTAGCCCAGGGAGATGTCTACCAGGGGAGCACAGTTCAGAAAGAATAAAAACATAACCCAAACTACAATTCCTACAGGGCACTGCAGCCACCTCTTTTGAATAGAGGTATTGCAGCACTCAGACATTACCTTCTCCCACTGAAAGCAAGCAAAACCTTCTGCAAGGAGCAAAATTTTTTTCTTCTTTTTTTTTGCAGCAAAAAGTAAGTTCAGGGCACTGCATTAAGTTATGTTTCATTCCTGTTCGGATGTCCACGGTCCTCAAACTGTCAGCTCTCGCTAACACATGTTCAGGAGCATGGTGCAGCAGCGAGCTAAGAGCCTGTGCAGTCACCAACACCAAGGGACACTGCATGTACATTTGCCACCGCTAAACCATAGATTTGCTCTTCCCTTTCCAGGTGGAAAACGAGCAAGTACAAGTCAACATGGAAAACCAGATCATCATGATGGCCTCTGACAGTCGTAGACACAAGGAGAGGGTCATCTACCTCATGGTAAAGCCACTGCTTCCACGCTCAGCTTGACCAAAACTAGTTCCCACAAGGGTCTCCCTACTAGGGTGGGCCCTGACGATCCAACAGCCATTCTGTCCCATGGGACCCAGAAAAAGGGGGTCTTGGTCATCAGGGGGACTCAACTTGGGCATTTCTCCTAGTAATTAGGCCCACACTAAACTCAGTGGTTTTTCTTTTTTATCTGTCTATTCACCAAGGTGTCATATTCTGATCCCCCACTCTAATGTTTTAGCAGGAGAGTTACCACTCCTTGCAAGCTACGTGGTATTTGGATTTGCTCCAATATGATTTAGTGTTGGGGGCCAGAGAACTTTTCTGCTGGTTATTTTAGGTTAGTCCTGGATTATTGGCTCAACAAGTCAGAGAGAGGAGGAAAGCACCTTTCTGGAGAGTGCCAGTACTCCCCATCTCAAGTCCATGCACCTCACTAAACTCAGTGACCACAGCCCATGCATGTCTCCTTCCCATGCAGAGAGTGGTCAAGAATGCACGAGATGAGGTGAACCAGACCTTTACAGAGATTATCAAGGAGCTCAAGATCATGCAGGTGAAGGTGCTGGAGTTTTTGGACAAGGAGGAGAGAGCAGCTCTCATCCAGATGGGGAACTCCATTCAGCAGAATCAAGTGAAGCTGGCCGACCTTTGGAAGCAAAGCCTTTGGATGACCGGCCTCCTGGAGAATACAAGTGACCAGCAGTTCGTGCAGGTAGGGTTCCTGCCACATGTTCAAGTTAAAGCTGGATAGAAACCAGCTACAGAGTTATAACACATTTTCAAGCACTAACTTGATAGCCGGTTGGCTCTTTTTATAGCCGGAAAGTCATTTTCAAATCAAGTGATAATTCGTTTGCACTTGGCCTATCTACATTTATTATGCATTTAACCAATCAATTGTGCAATAATCACTTGTAGCCAGTCTTAATTGTGCAATAATCCACTTGTAGCCAGTCTTACTTTGCATGTGTGGCTGGTCTAAATTAGTCTTACTTTGCACATATGGCTGGTCTAAATTCATTGCACGGTTAGCCAGTTAATTGCATAATATGCAACATGTAGCAGGGGCCCATGTCTCCACAGCCATCTGCACTTTTTGGAATGGTCTATTCGACTTCCATGAGGGGTCTGCCCTGAACTTGGCATCTAGAGCAGGGGCAACCAAGATATTGCCTGTGAGCCAGACAAATTGGACACCACTGGTCTGTACCACCAGCCACTGTCATAGGTTAAACTCCTCCTCATGTAGATGCAGATTGCTGTTCTGGGTCCACGTCTGTTAGGCTCAGCATGCTCTGAACCCCTGGAGTCTGAGTCCAAGCACTTCCCCGGGTTGGAATCTCTAGGCTCACTCTCAGGGTGCTGACCCAAGAGATGGGACCTGAGGTCTAACTGCCTGGCTCATGGAGTTCATACTTCCCCTTCCAGGGTCCCCAAAGAATTGAAACCTCTGCTCTCTAAGCTCCATTCTGGACCAGTTTGATGCTTCCAGGGCACAAGGTAGGTGTGAGCCTACACACCTACCAACACTGCCTTTTGAAAACACCATTGCTCTTTACTTAGCAGCACAAGAGTTGTGTGGATTAGATAAAAGCACTAACCCCAGCATGTCTTTCCCCACCACTCAAGAGCATTCTTTCGGCTGAGCACAGGGTCCTCTGGAATTGCCCAGGATTGCCATATGACCTCTGTTTTTTCCTGAAGCCAAATTACCCTGCCCTACCCCTACTGTGAAAGCACACTCATTTCTGCCCCTCTTACGTAAGCTTCCTGTGACACCCTTCAAATCTTTTCTTGGGAGTCTCTTCCCACCCCTCCCCATCTCTCCCTTGTTACCTGTGGGCCACCTCTATAATTGAATTCATTCCAGTGCACCAGCCCCATAGCTAACAACCAACAGCCCCTCAATGCAGTGAGCAGAACTAGGCCAGCTTCTAAACCAGAAGCATTTCCATTTGTATTTGAAGAATCTTGCGGTTTTCAATAAATCTGTCTGGAAAGAAATGAGACTCACTCCCCAAATCAAGTCTAAACAACCTTCCTTCATGAGACATCCATTCTGCCCTAATTGCAACAGACTGCAGTTCCTGGGTTGCATGCTTGTTTCTGGATCCAGACAGGAACCCTATGCTGAAAAAAATAAGTAAACACTGCAGCAAAATGCAGAGAGTCAGTTTAGAGAATTGGCTTTGAGGTAGACTCCAGTGTAATGGAGAACAATCCTGTCCTGGCTCTTAGGAGATAGTAACATTTGGCATCATCTCAAACACACGAGTAGCATAAAATCCACCCTCTGCAGAGGACCATTAAAGTCAGTGTAATTTAAGCAATGGTTAGGCTTCCCCGCTGTGCTCTTTGCACACAGGAGAAGTCAGCCACCTGCCAACACCCCGGCTCACACTGTTCAAATACTGTGCCACATTCTTTTGCATATAACGTTGCAGGAGTTTCCAATCCCCTTTCATAGCTTTTCTAGGAACTGGAGTGCCTTGATTATGCAGCAATAACGGCCTCTCAAATATCTAGATATATTTAAACCTCAGATGTCGTTTCACAACCATAACTTTGACCTTCTCTCCCCATACAAGCACGCACCTGCTCTTTCCTCCGTGCTGAATCCCGAGATCTGGAGAAATTTATTATGGGCCAGATTCTGACACAGGAACACAGACTTTGTAGTTCGTACCTCCACAATAAGCACCCCCACACCGTGGAATAAGCTGTCGTTTAGTAGGAGGACATCAGAACCTGGCCCAGTGGCATCAACAGTGAATGGCAATAGTTCCCCAAATGGTCTCTGCCTCACAGGAATTCCCCAAACTGAAGCAGCTGGGAGCCTGCCCAGAGCCAGTGGTCAGCCTGAAGTGTGAGGAGTCCTCGAGTTTCATAGGCGTCAAGCAGATGCTGAGTGATCTGAAGGCCCAGCTAGCAGTGGTTGCTCTCCACTTCGTCAATAAAATCCTTAAGACAGGTGAGGGAGCTGCTTTTGCTGGGAGTGTTTTTACCCCCAAAGGACCTTCCTGAGCTGCACCCCCAGGTCCCAGCTCCTCTGGAAGTACTGGGAAGACAGGACAGTGCTGGCATTGGCAGATACTTTTTTTAGCGGCCGAAATGGGGAACGCCATCATGGATGCTATCGCCAGGTTTTCAGTGGGTAGTTGTCTTCTGCCATTGACTGCAGAGGACTTCTCCATCCTGGAGGAGCCCCTATGTCCTCCCCTGGGTCCCTCCTTCCTTCCAGAACAGCTAAGACTCTAAGACCGGCTGGTCTCAATTACATAAATGTCTCCCTTGGTGCTGCTCTGCAAGGGAGTCCAAACACACAATGGTGCATTTGGCACCAGCCACCTTCTACCAAGAGTCCAAGCCGAAACCTTTCATGGATCAAGAGACTGGTTCAGGTGCCTTATCAACCTTCTGTGGAACAGCACAGCTTCCGAGCCGCCAGTCAGCATTGAACAAGTTAATGCCCCACCATATCATGGATCCCATCTCATGGAGGCTAACCTCCCACTCCTCTCACTGGCCTGGGCCAAGGAGGTAACCTAACTTGTGGTTTCTCATCTCGGGAATACTGTTCCTACACCACATCCTACTATCTCAGGACAGTGGCATCCTCACCTCACACCCAGCCTCCCATACCCATGTTCCCATTCACAATATTAAATCACCTACACCTTCCCATGAAGCGTCTAGATTACAGCACTAAAAGGGAATGAGAGGAGGGATCCCTTGGACAGTCTAGACTGTGCCTCCACTTCAGCCACCAGGCCTCAACTGGCATAAATCCATGTAGCTTCATTTACCGCAGTGCATCCATGACAATTTACACCCCATCCCACTACCTTTACGCACCATCCTCCAGTGGCCATCAACTGACTTGCACGTTGCTACAATCATACAAGTGAGAGCTGGACAAAGGAACTTCATGATATTCCAGCTTAAATCCAAATCCAAAAGTCAAATATTACCTACAAATTGTTCCCCTTCCTTTTCTACCACAAGAGATGCATCACATCTGACTGGGCTTGGAGATGCTGTTTAAAAAGCTGTTCTTGAGGTATTTCTGTATTTGGGAATTCAGTCCTGGGCAGGAACATGCATGCAGAAACAGGGCATGAATTGTAAGCAAGGCAGTTAACCTAACATTTTTTAACCCTGTGCAGAACATTTTGCTTTGATAATTAGACAAAATTCAAGAGGGAAGGAGAGATCCTAGGGCCTCCTCCCCCATTCCAGTCCACACATTTGTTCAACAGTTCACCCACCCTCATTTTCCAGAAGCTGAATGAACAGCTTCTGTGCCTTTTATTTTACAGGCATCACCATGCAGCCCTATGAGGTGATACCACCCAATATGGACAGGAAGACCCTCCTGAAGTGTAGGTCCTGGCTATATTTCTTGGCTTTCTTTTCTCCGGTCTCTGTGCCCTAACTTCAGGGAAAGGTCTAGTCCAGGGGTAGGCAACCCCTGGCACAGGTGCCAGAGTGTGGCACTCAAAGGCATTTTGCTTGGCACGCACACCTTGGGGGAGGTAGCAGGGAAGGGCCCAGGGCTGTGCTGCCACAAGGGTCGGGCCCCTCACGGCTCCCCTGCCATGCAGCCCTGGCACATAAACATCTTACAAGTTGAGGTTGCAGGTGTTTTTGGCACTATGCTGAAAAACATTGCCAACCCCTGGTCTAGTCTAACTGCTGGAGATGGCAAGGTCCTTGATGGAAGGAACTCAGCAAGCTGGAATCGTCAAAGGCCCAGGAAGGACAGAAGAACATTAGGAATGTGTTTTACTGCTAAGGCAATGGGAGGCGGGAGGAGTAGCACATACCACTCTGCCCAAGGTGAACCCTAGAGGAGCCTAGCAGGCAGACTCCATGAGTAGCACTAAAGGTTTCCCTCTGCACAAACACAATGAAGGATGCTGTGCAAATCATCACTGGCCCAGAGAGCTTGCAGCCTAAACACACAGTCCCAATGATGCAGTCAGTGAGGGGAAGGTTGTGATTACCTTACATTTGGGTTGAACTGGACGTCAAGTGACGCACAGTCAAGGGGCAGTGGATCAGGCCCTACGAAGAGAGACTAAAGGGCCTGAACCTATTCAGCCTCCACAAGAGAAGGATCAGAGGGGATCTGGTGGCCATTTACAAACTCAGCAGGGGGACCAGCGGAAATTGGGGGAGGCTCTGTTCCCTCAGGCACCACCCAGGGTTACTAGGGATAACGGCCACAAATTGTTAAGAGAAGGTTCAGGCGGGACATCAGGAGACATTACTTTGCAGTTAGGGCTGCCAGGCTCTGGAATGGACTCCCAAGGGAGGTGGTGCTCTCTCCTACCTTGGGGGTCTTCAAGAGGAGGCTGGACAGATATTTGACTGGGGTGATATGATCCTGGCACCTGTTCCTGCCTAGGGCAGGAGGTTAGACCTGATGATCTGTTTAGGTCCCTTCTGAACCTAAGCACTATGAAACTATGACTAAGAGTTTCCAACCTCAAGTACATCACTGAGCCTCAGGTTCATTCATTGTACAGTGGGGACCACAACTACAGAGAAAGGACATGAGGCCTCTTTAGTAAGTGTTTGTAAAGAGCCTAGGAGCTCAGATAAACACTATACACATTCTAGGTGTTATTAAAATGTTAGCTTGGGTATCTAGCAGGGGAGAGGCTACACATGTGTGAACATTTTCATGTGCATCAGGGGTTTGATAGTGATAGAAATCATGCTGTGCTGTTCAATCATAACAGAGCATCTCTAGCAGGCTAACTACACATAATACCTGCCTGTCTGCATCTAGAGTCCTTATGGGAAAATCCACTGATCCCCTTGGAAGATAGGTCTCCTGTAGAGAAGGTAACTAACAATCACATAGCCCATCTACCAAACACTTTGCTACCAGGCATTTGGCAGCTATTTCGCACTTTAACAACAACTCCCCCTACACACTCACACACCTCCTCCCTGGCCCCCGAGCTGTACTAGGGACCAAACTAAGCCCAAGATGAAATAAGGTACAAGCCGCATCTCTCAGTCTCATTAGCATTGTAGCAGTGACTCTCACTGCCTGTCTGAAGCAGCAGGTAGCTTGCAGCGGCCTGCTCAGTCTATTTACCAACAGTGCCAAGTGTAAATTAACTTTGGAATAAAGTAAAGGCTACCTCTGTAACAACAGTAACCTGCAGGTCAGGTGCTTTGGGATACAAAGGATGCAGCCAGGTCTAGGTCAGCCCCAAAAGTTTTGAGAAGAGAGTTTTCCAGAAACAAAAGTCAAGTTTATGATTTGCTTTTCAAATCCCAATAGATTATCCATGTGTTTTGGAACCCAAATGCTGCCCCATTCCCAAACAGCCTCAAACTGAAGTCAGTCTCAAGCTGCCTGTGAACACATGAAGCTGATGACAGGCTGTGCCGAAAGAAAGGCAAAATACTTACATACACTACGTATTAGTATGGGCACATGCATTACATTTCCAAGTCTGTCCATCATCAAGATCTACAAGCAGAGATAGTGTTGTGTTAGTAAGAAATCATTAGGCACTTGTACATGTTATGTTGTGTTAAAATCGTGCCTCATCTTAAAATAGGTCTGCAAAATTTAAGAGACTAATTATTTCAATTAAATTCTATTACTTGTGCCTGTAATAAAAACAGCCCAACCATTTGATTTGTGGGCATCGTAATTTAACGGAATAATTATTTCATTTTGACCCTGCAGTTAACCTGCAGTGGTAAACTGCCTGAAGAACTCAATGCTGGTTTTAGGCTTATGTAAAAAAAAAATTGGCCTTTTGGATTTAGGACCAAGGAGATCAGTCTCTTTTTCAAACTGGCTAGAAGTCTGAAATTGCAAGACAAGACCGTTTTTGACCTCTTTGTCAAGGATGTTGACAGGCAATTTCAATGTTGACAGCTAGGCGTCTAGCTGGGGTCACCTAAACCCAGCACTCTTTCCTGCCTATGCAGGGGGTCGGACTCGATGATCTATTGAGGTCCCTTCCGACCCTAACATCTATGAATCTATGTTATGGTCTTATCTGGCCTCAACATAGCATACCATATCTTGAGATGCTAACCAAAAAAGCAATTATTTGAAGAAGTCTGGTTGGTGAGCCAGAAAGAATTTAGTTAGTTTTAAAACCAAATTACTTTTCTCTACTTGAAACTCAGTCACGAAGGAAGTATTTTGGTTGTCCTACATATCAGAATTGGGTTTTTTTGGATAGGGAAGAGACATGCATGCACACACATCCCCACACCCTCCTTCCCTTGTATTTTCTGTAACCTAAACATTGCAGCACCTTACTGGAAAATAAAGTGAACTAGAGTTATTTGTGAGTGACTGGGTGCAATGGAAAAAGTTAGCAAGCAGCACGATAGTGATAAGCATGGCATGAGGGGGTTTGCATGTGGCTTTGTACTTAACTGATAATACTTAACCTTAAATGACTACAGTGGAAGATGACTACCATTTCCATCTGGCCCCTGATTTTTAATCACTCAAAACTTCCTGAAACTTTTACTTTTCAGGCTAGCACTCTTCTCCAGTTCCCCTCCCCTCCTTCAAGATTTGGAGTACAAGTGCAGGGCGGGGAAGGGAGAAAATACTTATTTTAAATTCTCTTACAGACTTTTTTTTTTGAGCAATGCTACAGCCAGCCTAGTCGAGGATGGAAATTGAGATTTGAATGGCTGTTGTCCTCAGAGAGAAGTGTCTTTGAGCACTTCAATGAAAATTGGCTTGGTTTTGACCCCAAATTATCATGTCTAGCTTGCACCTACGCTTTATAGATGGAGTTGCTAAGTTGCTGATGGGTCGGCTCAGACCTGCGCTCCATGATTTCAGTTGGAATGGGACCAGCCCCAGAGCGCAGCTCAGGAAAGTGAGCCTTATGCAGGTGCAGCTAACCTAGTAAAGCAACAACCACCATGCTGAAGGTGTGCAAGCTTTAACCAGTGGCTGGCAGCTGCTTCAAGTTTGCAGGAGAGAACTCTGCTGGGATTCACTTTAAGGCTTCTGCAGCCTGGGAGAAGAGCCATCCTGGACACCAGCTGAGCTGTACAGCAGGCAGGCTTCCTCCTACAGATGGCCCAAAATACCTGGGACATGCTTCCTAGTGGCGGTTACCCAACTAGCTTCAGGTGACATATATGGAACTTGCACCTGTAACAAGGCACTATCATGCCATTGGAAGGCGTTTCTTCCACACAATTCCCCCTCCACCCTATTGTTTCCCTTTTCATTCAAAGCCAAGAAGACTTTCAGACAGTAGATGCCTTCTTGCACATGCTAAATTCTAGCTACATAATCATGGGTCATTTCTCAAATGCAGTATGACACCATACACTTGGTATAGCTCTGGATACATGGGCGGCCTTCTCAATTATGAAGGGTTTGACCTACACAGTATAATACATTATGAGTACAACCCAAGAGCAGCAATTATTCTCAGAGGTGATGGTAGATTTACAGTAGTGTCTAGGACCCTACTGTACTTGAAACAAAGATGACTTCCTCCAACCCCGTAAGAGACCACAAATGGATACAGACAGACTGAGGAGCACAAGGAAGGGGAGACAATATGGTCCAATTCATTTAAGTGGCATTTCACAGAGTTCCTCATCCTTCATTTGTGACTAAACCGGCTGTCTCCTGGGCTCCTCCCTTCCCCACTCAACCTCCTTCGGTTCTTGTTTCCTTTTGCGTGCCCTGACCCACATCTCCTCCTTCCTCTTGCAGACTATTACAACCTGAACTTTGACCCCAACACCGCCAGCGAAGAGCTGCTATTGTTCAAGGAGACCCACTCGGTGCTGAACATTGGCATCATGCTGGAGTCCTCCTCCATGCCCTGCCAAGGATTCAACCACTGGCCACAGGTCTTGTGCACCCAGAGCTTGTGTGGAGGCTGCCACTACTGGGAGGTTGAGGTCTCAGATTCGTGGCTCTGCTTGGGAGCCACCTACAGTTATGCGCACAGGACCGGGAAGAACTACATCTACTTGATAGGCAGGAACAGCACCTCATGGTGCTTGGAGTGGGACTCGCTCAAATTCTCCGTCTGGCACAACAACATCCAGACGGTGGTGAAGGGCAGCTATTACCAAACTGTCGGGATCTTCCTAGACTATGCTGCTGGCTCCCTGACTTTCTACGGGGTCACCAACACCATGAACCTCATCTATCACTTCCTGACCACGTTCACGGAACCACTGTACCCTGCTGCCATGGTGAGCGGTGGAGGTTCGCTGTTCCTGAGGCAGCACCCGAAGTAGGAGCAGATTTTCTGCCTGGAGCTCACGGGGGCTCTTTGTTGCCAATAAAATTTGTTTCTATCTTATTGCCGGCCAAGCTGGGTTTTTAGTTCATGGCTACAGCATTAATGGCGTTTACACTCGGTTCTCCCCTGGGAGAACGGGATACACCACTCAGGGGTGGGGAGGAAGGGGTCTTCCACCTGTTCTATCCAGCTCCCTGCATCATCTCTGCCTGGTGTCCTTTCAGCTTTGTAATACAAGACCAGGCATCAGGCCTTCTAGCATTCTCTTCCCACATTAAGCAAATCATTTAACCTTGCTACGCTTCTTTCCCCCTTCCTCCTCTCCATCGGCTTCACATGGGCATTAAGAGCCCTAATAACAGACCAAGATAGTACTAAGTGCTATTCACACAAGGCAGCCATGCTAAAATGGGCCACGCTGTTGAGAATCTAGGCTCTCCTGTGGTCCAGCCCAGATTTTTCCCTTGTTGTTCCTGGCTGTGCTCCCTTTTTACAAACCTGAAGTCCCCCTATCATAGTATCATAGTAGGTAGGATCAGGAGGGACCTGAACAGATCATCTAGCCTGACCCCCTGCCACAGGCAGGAATGAATGCTGGGTTCACAAGACCCCAGACAGGTGATCATCCAACCTCCTCTTGAATTTGCCCAAGGTAGGGGCGAGGACCACTTCCCTGAGAAGTTGGTTCCAGATTTTGGCCACCCTAACTGTAAAATATTGCCTTCTGTTCTCTCACCTAAACCTATTCTCCATCAGCTTATTACCATTGATCCTCGTCACCCCAGGTGGTGCTGGGGAGAAAAGGGCTCTGCCTATTTGCTGTTGATCTCCCCTGATGAGCTTGTAGGCAGCCACCAGGTCCCCCCTCAGCCTCCTCTTGCCGAGGCTGAACAGGTTCAGGTCCTTCAGTCTCTCCTTGTAGGGCCTGTCCTGCTGCCCTCTCACCAAGTGTGTGGCCCTCCTCTGAACCCTCTCCAGGCTGGCCGCATCCCTTTTGAAGTGCGGCACCCAGGACTGGATGCAGTACCCCAACTGCGGCCTGACCAAAGTCACATAGAGGGGGAGTATCACCTCTTAGGGACTCTGTCCCATTCCAGCTGCTCTGCACTTTGCTGATAGTGCCAAGCAGCCTTCAAATCTAGCGTGGCTCTTCATGGAGAGTTCCTGGTTCTGGGCTTGAACTGCTTGCCCACTCCTCCCTGACAGGCAGAAGCTCCACTCAACCTGGTCAGATGCTTTCTTTAGCACCAGCAATAGATAAGCAAGGGCTTGCGTGGGTTCAACAGACCAAGGAAAGTTGCAGACAAATCGATCACTGGAACGTCTTCCCTGAAGAATCTAGTTGGTTTCCCCCCTACAGTCTCAGCAAGAAGCCCATTTTAGGCACTAAAATTAGGCAAATGTATTTTCGAAGTTAGATTCAGCACGACACACACATGCACAATCCCCCACACCCCCTTATTATTCATAACATCTGAAGTAGTCACCTGTTTCCTATGAAAGCTCATACCTCTCCAAACTAGTTATTGTCTCAAGGTGCCACCCTGCCCTGCCTACACCCTTATCACAATTCAGCCTGGTTTACATCCCAGCAGTGTGATAAAAAGCAATGGCTCAGCTTGCTCCTTATTAGAAACCTCAAGAGAAATGGAGGCAGCACTTGCATGTCATTTTTTTCCCATCCACAAAGAGCTGGCAGCTTCCCATAGTTACAGCCCAGTGATCCCACTAACTTGAGAAAGTATTTCAACAGTGTAACCAAGTGTAATATGCCAGAGCCTCTTTGGACTTATGTGAAGGTCTCTGTTCTCAGACTAATATTCAACTGGCCCCTGCAGTGGTTGGATTACTTTTACAGGAGACCCGTGTCAACACCACTTCTTAACAGGCCCTTTCAAGTTAACCTAAGATCTTGTGAACATTAATTGCTCTTTTGTTGCCTGCCGTTGCAGGCAGTTTGCTTCGGATGACAGCCCTGGCTGCCTCCCAGTAGCACTGTGGCTGCATCCCAAAACAGCCATTTTTAAAAGAGTAGGTGCAGTTTTATCATGGGTATAAAGCATTTGGGGGAGGGGGGGCATGTTTTCTCATTTCTGTCTGTGCCTGTGCTACTACCTGACCATTTTTTACCTTGCACTTAGAAGCCAAGCAAGGTGTGGGCTGCTCAGAGCCTGGCTGGGAATGCTAGGCACTGCAGGAAACTAGGATGGGATTCAGTAAAAGGTCTTCTCAGTTCCTACCCAAGAGCTGCCCTAAGGCAGCCTATATATTGCTGTGGCTTTGCAAATCAACACTGCTGACTCCTGGCCATTCATTGAGACCCACTATTCAGCAGCATTCAGGCCTCTATTGCCTCCCCAGCTCTCAGGACTGCTGCAAAGAAGTCCCTGCACTTCAAAGCCAGAAGTGAAGCAGAGAAGATGTTTTGGAAATATCCCCAGCCACTGCTCTAAAGGCAACAGGGGATGTCCCCAGGAAGGGTGGAAAGGGCTTAGTTTTTGGTGGTTGTCTCAAGAAGGCCATGGAGGTGGTCTGGACATGCTCTGCAGTCAGGCTGTTAGGTGAGAATTGTGACGTTCATGAAAAGACCACGCGCACGCACACACTTCCAGTCTTCATGTTTGCAGAGAGAACCTGAAACACAGCCAACATGTTGCTAAGTATTCAGAATGCAACTAAAGGACCCAATCCATGTAAGCCAGACTCTTGCTTTCTTATTTCTTGGCATAGGTGCTGCTAGAGGAGAGCCTCCTTTTAACATGGCATCTGCAGATCCCTCATAGTGCTGTCACGTCCTGTTCCTCAGCTACTGAGCCTGGGATATACGTGCATCCCTTGTGTCCAGCAAAGACCCATAAAAAGTAAGACTCCATAAAAAGAGGGAACTCTGGAGGTCTAGTCTGGTCCCTTGCATGAGGCAGGATCCAAACCATCCCAAGCAAATCCTTGTCTAACCTGTTACTATAACTACACAGGCACCCCTGCCATACGGTGCCCTAACCTGCCACTGGTAGAGTAGAGGGACAACGGTGGCCAATGCCCTGCTGCTGCAAGGGTTGTTAAAATACGCATTCAAAAACTTGAAATATGAAAAGCCTCCTTTTCCACCTGCCTGCCCCCACCCATCCCCATATTCTTGCCCAGGAGACTGCATTTCAGTGGTAGATGGAACAATACTTGCACCTACTCCAATGATGCTCAACCAGGGTTTTGTGGCACCCCCAGGGTGCCATAAGATCCTTCTAAGGGTGCCACGTCTACACATGATTCACAAGATAAACCCAGAGATTTCAGATTGGAATTTGTAGTGTCAAAAAAGATATGCTACCCTGTTGCCATCTTTCCAACAGAATTGTTCTATTCTTTTTCCATAGTCAAAAAAAAGAGGGACAGCTAGAGCTGGCATTTTCTGAGGGATGCCTTCAGCCTACAGAGATTGAGAATGACCAGTCTACCCTATTTGTAAACTGATGTGGAATTTGGAGGCTAAGGCAATTCAATGTCCTTGATTTGAAGTGTCGTTGTCCCCCCCCCTCTCTAAATGAAGTCCCCGCAGTGTTTCATCTCATGCAACAAATGGAATCCCAAAGGTTTTCCTTATCTGGGTGCCTGGAACCAGTTCAGCTCATCTTTTTTTTTTTTTTTTAAATAAAAAATAAAATAAAAATCTGTAAGCGGTGATTTGATCCCACTCAATTCTGGAGAACAGGTTCCATCCTGGACCAAAAGCCCATCCTAAATAAGGTTCCTTTAAACCCAATGACACTGGGCTTAAACAGCCACCCCAAGCAAGAGGCAAAAACAGCTGCAGCTCAGTGCATGCAATAGTTACCCAGATCACAGCCATCTACTCATGCACAAATGATGGTTGACAAGTAATAATTCAGTACGCTGCAGATGCACAAATCCATTTTTAAAAGATTAGCTTCAGGCCAGCCTTTGCAGCACGGTCGAGTGGTTAGAAAATAAGAATCAGAACACCTGGGTTCTATTCTTAGCTCTCTCAGTGGAGCTACAAACAAGTCAGACTGTTGCGTGCAATAGGTATCCAGCCCAGAGAAGCCCTACGAGACTCCATTAGGTCTTCAAGTGTTTGCAGATCTCAAGACAGGTAGGCACTAGAGGAGCAGATTGTTATAAAGATCATTTTCCAGAAGAGGAGGTTGGTTTCCCCCCTCATCCTACAAGCTGACTATTCTGCCCTACAATAAACCCCACAGTCCTTCTCAGCTTGCGCCAACCACCTTGCATGTTTGTACAGTATGTTTGGTGGATGGGCAAAAATAAGCTCTTGTTACACATGTGGTTTGGGGCCGAGCCAAGGTAGGCCTGGCCGGGCGAAGTTCACATGCTGCATGCTTTAGAACGTAATATAGCAAATTTTGAAATAATTTTATAGCACCCTCCTCCCTCTTGCCTTTAGTCCCACAAGTGTCTTGTGCCTCCTTTATATTGTGTCTCTTCCATCAGCTCTTTCTTATCATGTATTGCTTTTCTTCTCCTTCCAGCTGTTCCCCCATTATAGTTACTCCCCCAGCTGCCCTCACAATGTCACTCCAAGTGATCACATCACGGTCAGCAGCACTGTCTCCCTTCTAGCACCACTACTCATGCCCGACTTTCCCTCCAAGATCTCCACTCATTCACTCCAGTAAACAGGCCCTGAATAACTCCCCCCCCACACCACCTCCCGATCCCCGATTTATATATCAACACTCAGCCGAAGCAATGACACACACAAGCCAGATGCTTCAGCTATACCTTTCCCCACCCTACCACAAATTTTGCAGAACAAGGTTGGGCCTAGAGTATCAAGCAAGGCCATGGGTGGGACATCCACTGGCATTCACCTGGAAAGGACATTGAGATCTCCCAGCCTGACAGCAGCCAGGAGTCAGCTTAGGCTGCCCATGTAATATTTGTTCTGGTAATTCAGTAGACAGATCATTTGATGTCAAGGTTCATTTCCTTCCTGAGCAGTGTCAATTCTGCATTAGGCTTTGGGACACAGATCCGAACGCAGATCTGCAGCTGACGCAGACGGAAGGGCCCCTTTTTTTTTGGCAGAGCGCAAGGTGATCACCACTTGCAGCAGGAAGAAAGTGAAGTGCATGGGGGTGTTATAACTGAGACAGCGGTGGGCTCATCTGCCTGTTTCGTGGCGTCTCCGATCCATTTGCTGTCTAGCACAATCCCGCATCTCGAGACGTTCATATCAAAATCCCTCTGCAACCTCAGCAGACGGGCAGATGGGCAGCTAAGTTAAGGGCAGAACCAAGGAGAAGGGCATTCGGGTCCTCGCGGACTTCCTTAGACACGAGGGGGACTCCTGGGGTAGGAGACTGCTTGGATCTGGGGGAGGGATCATGCGATCACCCCAGCGCAGGATCTCCTTACGCCTCCATCCTGACCACCTCGACTCGCAGCTCCTGGCACTAGGAGAGCGGAGTGTGCCAGGTGGCTCCAAGAAACGCAACACACTGGATCCCATCCCCAGCAGATCCCCCCCCCCTCCCCCAAGCTGCCACTGCATCCCCGACATATCGGGACCCTCTCCCCTCCGAGACCCATCCCCGCCCTGCATCTCGGGGCGGATCAGCATCCCCCTGCGGACCCCGCTCACGCCTCCTCTCCAGCCCCATGGATCCACTCCACCCCCCTCCAATCAGACTCATCCCCGGGTGGATCCCCCCCGTTGAGAAGGCGGGTCTTGGGCAGATGCAATCGCCTCCCGGCGGATCCCGGGGGACCCGGCGCGGATCTCGGCTCCCCCCCGCGCTGTCTCCTCCTCCCGCCGGGGCGGAGGCGGCCCCGCAGGAAGAGCAGCGGGGAGGAAGGCGCCCCGGGGGCTCCGGAGTCGCCCGTGTGAACAGGTAACGCGGCGCGGGAGCCGC